GCTCGTGGACCGTCGGTCCTGCCCGCCACTCCTTGTTACGACCGAGATAAACAGGCCTGGACCATCAGGGCCGATCTGCACTCGGACACCGTCAGGCTGCACTTGGTCTACAAGGACATTCACAACGTTCCGAGGAACCATTTGAGGTGGGTAGCTTATTGCATATGTATGTCCCAAGAGTACTCCGTACTCTAATTCCGGCCTAATCCTGCGAAAGCCCTTACCGACTCGTTCTTGACTCGTACTAGTGATGTTAATGGTTAACTTAATCTCTAGGGTTCGCATCGCGAATGAACAATAATTCCGTTCCCGAACGTAGAGAAAGCGATATTGCCAGAGGTAATAATAGATCGAAATTTTGTATGAACAGGTACGTGAGCTGGTCAGCATACCTGCTTCGCGACGAGGAGCCGAACACGTCCGCGATCAGCTTGCCGGGTGGTCCGTTCAGCCGGTACTACGCGCAAGAGTCCGCGGACGAGGGAATAATCATGGAGACGAATCTGGACACGAACGAGGTGAAGGACAATCACTGTCCGTTCCTAACGGACAAGGGTCAGCTGAGGATCCGTCTGGAGTGGAACGAGAGCCACTTGCTGTTCCAGGCGACCTACCACAAGTACGACGACGTGTGCCGCATCCACAATCAACAGATGAGGCGCGAGATAGCCTCGCTGCAGGCAGAGAATTACAGCCTGGAGAGGCAGCTGTTCAGTTACCAAAAGAGTCTGGCGTACGCTCAAGCGCAGCAGCAGCAACAACAACAGAACCAACAGCACCACGGTGGCCATCAGGCTCACCTGGAACGATCCGCGTCCACAGACACCGAATACGCCTGACAAGTGGAACAACAGATGCACGCTAACGATCAGCCGGGCACCGGTTGCAGACGGCAATTGCCCACCGTGCAGGAGAACGATCACCGGGTTCATCAGAACCTGGTCAGGATGATGGACAGGCGGCTGAGCAACGTCCAACTGCAACAACACCTCTACGAACCGGACACGTGCCAGCAAAGATATACCGAGCAGAGCGTCGATCAGTCGCAGGAGCATCGTCGCAGCATAGTGCAGCAACCGAAGTCGGGCCGTTCGAGCGTGGGCAGATCGGACAGCGGGTCGGAACGCGGCAACGACCGTTACGCCGCCGGTTATTATTTGGGGTACGTCGGTCAGGCAGCGCACAAAAGACGTAGGACCACTTTCTGGGAGACCCTGACGGGTCTTGTGTGCTCATTGGGCGCTTTGGCTTCCAGGGCTGCCAAGATGGCCACCAGACGGGGCGAGCCTCTTTGAAGACGTACGCCCGCCTTCGTAAACGGACCACCGGATCGTACGGCCACGGACGAACACGAGAGTCTTGTGACGTAATGTGACAGATGTCGAAGAACGCGCGAAGGATGACTCGTTTGTGGTTCGAGGCTGCAGCTCGTCGACTAAACTGCAGATCAGTAGACCACCGAGAACCTCGCGCGAATTTCGCGAACGAGGAGAGACTCGCGTTTCTACCATGACCAGCGCCGAGATCGGATTAACTCGACAATACGGCGGACGTCGAACGTAGGCGAAAACTATCAGACGCATCGTATCGTACCAACATGTTCGTCCATTTTTTTCGTCGATAATGACACCGAGAAGAAGGAAGAACGAAGAGGCGTCTATCGCCTTCGGACGATTCGAAGAGCAAACGTAGCCGACGTTACGAAAGATGGAACCGCGCGAGCGCGCTCGAGTCGGAAATCGATGAGGATTTTTCGAGGGATCTATCCGATTCCTCTTTCATGTACACATTAACACACGATTCTATCTACTTGTCAATTTTACTAAGAGAACAACAAGAACAAAAAATAACGCAGAACAAATGCTATTTTCTTCTAAAGACTTGTTTTTCACCTATCGTCTGCGACTTCTTTGATAAATAATGGAATCCGTGCGCGGTGTAGCCGCCGTGTCGTGTAACAACAGCGTATAATTATGGTAGCGTTACTCGAGTACAGAGAAACAACAATTTAACGATAATTGATAATAACTTTTAGAGTACAGTCGGTGTGTTACGTAAACGAACGTAGGGGAACGAAGGCTGCCCGATCGACGCCGCGTGAACGTTCGTAATAGAAAACGACCATCGGCTTTCGTCTCGAAACGCCGAACAAAGACCAGGGTAACATAAAAATACGAATACTTCAACGTTGATTAGCTACAGTGATGGGCATACGAGGGCTCCATCGCAACGTGCTCTTCCTTCGACTAACGATAAAATCAAACACAACTTACTTTTCAACAAATCAGATATGTAAACTTGGAAATTTCGAAACAGAGCATCGTACGAGCTCTGCGACATGTGCCCATCACTGGCGCAGAGTTCGTCAATTTCTTTTGTCGTTATTTACGTTGCAGTCTTATCTCGAGGAGGAGATAATTATTTACAATTATTTATTTTGACAAATATGATTCTTGTGACGAGTATGAAAAGATTTGCCCTCGGAAGTTAAGATTTTCTGGCAATTTTTTAAACGTATCTTCACCGATCCAAAGTTACCTAGAAAAGCTACACTAAATTTTGTCTCTAAACGTAATAGTATTTTACTGTTTATCTCAAAGAAATCTAAGAGTCTCTTTTAACTCGATCTTTAATAAGACGCTTTCCTTCGTGTTTGAGAATATAAATATCCTTTTCATGTAAACTCTTTTTACCGCGGAAGCAAAGATTTCCGTAACGCGATCTTTCTTCCTTTTCAACTTTTAAAGAACTTCAGGAACAGCTGGTATCTTTACATCTTAAAGCGCATCCGCTTAAAAACAAGAGACTCCTTTTTTGTAACTTTTTAACCCGACAGAAAGTGTCTACGGTTTTGCAAAGTTCCATTAATAAAGAATGGCAGAATACTCGTTAGAGAGGAGATACGACCGTTACCTCGCGTGAGAAAAATATTTGAATCGCACATGGTACGCGATTATCTTAAAATAGAAACGTTTTAACGTCCACGAATAAGGTATACTCTAAACTGTAAAGATTAACAAGTTCCTCGGGACGACAAAAGCAATTCGAACTCAATTAAATCGACCACCGCTGACCTTCGATCCCCTCGACGTCGTGTTTCGTTTCAAAGCTTTATACTATCTCCTTTCTCCGTTTCTGTATAATTGTACCTACGAACGGCGCTGCATATTGAAACACGTGTACACGAGCGATACGTGCACGTCAGCGTTCACATCTGCTACAAATCGGTAGCGGACGCGATCGATACGGTACTTCCTCGTCACTTCACACCGTATACGCGTATAACGAGCCACCAGGAATCATCGTGTACACTCGAGTGCAACGTAGACTTCCTTTGATCAAGCGAGCGAATGCAGGGAGAGAAGTTCACTCGAGACCCTAGAAAAAAAACACAAGGTTACAAAAATTCTAAGCAAAGTTTGAGAGGGCTGAGAGCAGAGGTTAGGAACTTGAGGAGATTCGAAGTTTCAGAAGCATCTAAATTTAGGGAAGTCGGAGAACCTAGGAACTTCTTTCCCTACTTCCTCTAAACGGGAAATGTAAGATGCACGCGACGGTATCACGCACGCGTACTCACAGGTTAATTTGAACCTCGAGACCCATCGAGTACTAATTAAAAGCACCGATACTTTCTTTTAACGAATCGGACACATGAATTTTAATTTCTCCCTATTCGAAATTTTATTTGTCGTACTGTGAGACGAGGAAAGATTGTCAATCTTTTGAAATCTCAAAAATCTAATCCTTTAAAAGCTAGATTACAGCGTATCATTTCAGTTATCAATGTCATATATAGTTATCGATGTCATATTAAGATAATTGTATTAACGTGTTTACAATGTATGCCCATAATGCTTAAATGATTGAAGACAATCCGTCAGTCATTGAAATTGCAAGAAAGTCTAGAATCAACGATAAGCCAGAAAGTCTATCGGTGCTTTTAATTCGTGATACAATCGCGTTAAGACACGTGTCACGAAAGTTGTATCCCTCCTCTGAAGTAGCGGAGTCTGTATACTTTGTATATAACTGTACTAAAACTGTTGATCATTTAATGAGAGAAAATTATGAGAGTTGTGCCTATAATGCGGGAAGCGAAGAAGGATTTGAGAGAGGATCGCACGATCGAACCGTTGAAATTTCTGTTCAAATTGTTCCCACCACATCGTTGAAATTTCCTTGCAGTAACTTGTTCAATAATTTTCGTTTCGAACAAGCGTCCCTAGAAAAAAAATATTCTGCATTAACCGTGTTTTAATCGCTAGTCATATGTAGGTCAGCTTACCAGTTGATAAGGGGAGAACACGTGGACAACATAAACTGTTCTAGGAACGATAAAAGTAACGAGCAACCGTTGATAATTATCCCCTAATCGCACGCTTTTTTATGTCTCAGACAATCGATGTAAAGTTGACTGTTTTCAGTAAAAGGAGCACGGCAATATTCGTGTTTGAAAAAGAACCAGGAGGGTAAAGATCATGCGATCCTCGAGGATCTGTACGTTTCTGTAACGATAGGGAGAAAAATAAACCTAGGGGAAACGATCTCTCGTGCAGCGCACGCGTTTCCCAAAATATATCCTCGATTCAAAAGTTTCTTAACTTATACAGTCGTATATAAAAAAAGGACCACCGACGGAAACGAGCGCCGTCGACGTCGATGCGTCTCCGAGAAGCTTGTCAGAATCTCCGCCAAATGACCGGAAGTTCCTCGAGCTTGCCTGGTCGATCGGACACGACGGAAATTCACGCATTCGGACAATACGTTTCCGAAGCGATCGCTCGGACAAGTTCGAGGACCTAATCGGCGGCAAGAATCGATCGTATCTAATGTCATTGTATCGTTGTGTAATTTGTCAGATTTTATCGGTCGTGTAACCCGCGAACAAAGCGAACTTGTACAAGTCTGTTCGCCAATTGTCCCCTCTCCTCCATCCCTTCCTCAAAGAGACTAGCGGCATACCTTTAACAGGCATCTCGTGTATATCCCTCCTTGCCAGTCTTACTCTCCTGTATTCGGACGGTATTCGATCCAGAATTTTCTATCGAAACGCTTAAGACAGGCGTGACAGCAGCTCTGACAATCGCACCTAACCCGATTGAAGGGTGAAACCTTCGCGTCCGTCAGCGCACAGCGTTCAGATTCCGCTTTGTGTCTATTTGGGGTTCGCTGTGAACGTTCGGCAACATGCGAGAGAATCTGCTGTACAAAAACATACAATGTTTATTTCACTTATTCATATGGTATTAGAGAAGTCCTCTCCTTCGTTACATGTGATGTTTGAACGCTTAGAACACGATGAACAACATCTGGTCACTTAAAAGATTGGTAACATTTTGACACCTAAAATATGAAAATTATATGTCAATTCTATCAGTACATGTAAAATAATTGGACAACATGATAATACCTTTAAACTGGTTCCTGAACGTGTAGATTACATGGACGTCCAATAATTTAGAACATTGATTACACTCATATGCGACGTCCGTAAAGCTTATACACACTTCTCTGAAAATAATTTAAAGCTCTAAAGCAACTGCAAGGTTCGAGTATGTTGTAAAACCTTGAGGACCATCGAATATCCGGCGCTGGAACGTCCAGGATACATGGATGTCCAATAACCAGATAGCTTGGATACCTTGGATATTCCAGTCCGTGTTGAGATATTTCATCTTGAAACGGTATGCAATTTTCAACCCCTGCAGTGACCTGAAATATCCGATGGCCACGTTTACCATACGCCTGAAATATTCGATATGAAACGATGTATTTCGTTTAACGCATCAAACGTTCAGATTCTTCGAGCACCAAACGATAGATTTTAGTGTGACTGTTACTTTTCACCCGAAATACATATCCGAGCGGCATCATTTGCGTGGCGATTCTACCTGTGACAAAGCCATGCGTGGTGATTCGACGCGTTACAATTCCTCGCGTGACAATACCACGTGTTCTCATTCAACGCATAGCGAATCCACACGTCGGACGCGTAGTAGTACAATGCGTGGCAATCTACCGCGTGATAATCTATCTCGTGGAAATCTAACGCGTGGTAATCTATCACATAGAACCCAAATTCGCTTAAACGTTGGAGCCTGAAGTGTTCAAGCATCACACAGAGATACACATATGTCTTGCAATTAAAAGATACTCAAGCGCGTTGCCCACGTTTAACAAATACGTATTCTTGGAAAGTTTTTGAAGTCCTCGTGCCCGTGATTCGGTTCGGCACTTCAGTCAATTAAATTCACTTTCACGAGGACCGAGCGCGGGCATCGTCGTCGAGGAGTGCGTTAACACGAAGCGGAATACTTATACATACGTATACATACATAGATTTGAAATTTATCAGGTAGACCAGCGTGTCAGTCGGGTCAAGGAGTCTTTTACTTTTCGACTTCGTCCTCGATTCTCTGTCCCTTATCTCCCCGTCCTAATCTTTTCTCGTATCTCTTATTATCTATGTTTTTTCACGATTCGCACACTATGTAATTAGATGACCATCCGTTTTCTTGCGGAGACCTCACATGACACGTTGTGGACATTTCGATATTGTCAATAAATTTTGAGTAACATGAAATATTAACAATATACATTGATCATTTGAGGTCGCCGTTACGCAAGTCGAGCATCGATTCACCTTCATGAACGGAGTCTTGATAAATAATCGTGATGTCATTCATTGACATACAGTATATATTTTACCTTCAAGATTCAACAGGACAATCTGCAAAGACTATGAAGTCTTGGTGAAACATGAATGATAAAACGACATACTTTCGCTCGATTATGTAAATAGATATTGGCCTTTTAGAGTCGGCTCGATATTGCTGCAGCTTCGACGTCGCATAATTAATTTTTGTCCATCGATATTCCGGGACTGTAACTCTTTTCGACCAGGAGAAAACGTTAATATCGCGCTCGGTCGCAAGTTATTGATTTTCTTTAAAAACGGAATATGGAATATGAAAGATGTTCGTTGTCGAGCGGTAAAATCCAGACAGCAGTTTCTCAAAATTTGATGGGCTTCACGTTTGAAAATGACGATCAAATCCATTCGTTTGTTGCGTTTCAAAGGTGTAAAATTCAAGAATTCCAGAGGAAGACCTTATTCGAAATGTTCCTTAAAATATTATAAGAGTCTGGATCTTTTACGTCGTAGCTACTTGATCTGCTGCACCATCACCAATCTACTGTAATCCCTATTTCTAAGGTCCTATCTTATTGGATATAGGAGTCCCTACCCCACGATATTATATTATGACCCGGCATGGCATACTGCGGTGAACGATCCTTTAAAGTCTAAAGTCTAAAGCTACGTCTACTATGTATAACAAGACGCCGTTATAAAAGAATTTTCTTTGTAACCTTGCTGTACCTTTTTGTAACTTATAATATTCTATTACTTTCATATGTATTTGACATAGTGTCAGTTTTGGTAGAACCCTCGTTTAAAGACAACTGATAATGAACGTAGGTTTGATGGCTAAAATGTCAGCGTCATTTTAGAATACCTGCTCGGTCGAGAGTAAAATTTGCGCAAGAAATTATCAAGATTATTTCATGCAAGAATGACTTGGCCATTTGTGAAAAATAAAAATACTGGTGCCCTCTCCCATTTTAATTTTATCCTCGAATGAACACGTACGTGGGTATTTTCGTATTATACAGTGTAGACAGAGCTTTCGGATGAAAAGAACCCTGAGCTAATATCGAAACAGAATAGTATCGGTTCCAAAAGGGATGACCGCCGTGAGCGCTGACGGACGGTGACGCCATAAATCAATATCGATTCTCTTAGGTCAATTTCGTGGTAAGGACCGTTCACTTCACGAACCGCGATCGCCTGCGAAACGATTTACAAACTCGATCGCACGTTTTTCCTTGCTCCTCCATGCAGGAGCGAAAGTCACGTTTTTTCTTATCAACGGGACTTCCCTCCTTCGCGATACACGCTGACACTTCCGACGTCGCGTTCCTCGTGCCATTTTATTGTCATCCTCTCGTTTGCTGCTTGCACGCTTAAAAAGAGGGAAATATATTTACCAGTCAGTTAAACAGGTTTAACAAGAAACGATCATTTAAAATATGTATGTATATTATACACGCGTAATATCGACGAGCACAAGCATTTGTATTTTTTTACGATAACGTCAGTGACTTCCGGTCATTACGTGACCGAAACACGCGAAATTGTACTATATTATGTTAAGATATAATTAGTTCTGAACGATAATTGATGGCACGACGACCTGGAGGAGTTGACACCGAACGAGCGTTTCCTTTTTCAGCTTCTAATCCTCGTCCGACGACTCTTTTTCGATTCAATGTATGTTCGTACTTTTTACGCACGATGTAAACGCACCTATTTACGCAGCAACCTTTTTTCATTCCGTGTGATCTATTTAACAGAAAAGAAGAAAAAAGAAAATGACAAAAAAAAAAAATGATGAAAAATAATGATGCAAACGCAAAACCGTCACATGTTTCTCAGAATTTTGAGACGTATACTAATGTACTTAAACCATCTGTGAGTCTGCCTCGTCTTTTATAAAGTTCTTGCTATATTCAACTGACGTCTGTATTTATTTCTCATATTCACCCTTCCTTATGTGATTAAAACAATTATTGCTATAAAATATTAAAAATTATTGGTAATGATTTAATTTGATATACATATGTATTTAATAAAAGTAAATGTAAATATAAAAATTTGTAAGTTTCTCAATTTTCACGAGTATTATACACCACCCGCACAAAATTATTCAGCATACTAACTTTTAAAATATGAATCCAGATCCTAGACGTTTATTTTAATGCTTTGAAGTGGATATTCGCTAAAATGTTTTGCAACAATTTCTATCAAATTTTGTTTGTTATTCTCATTCGTATGGTTATATTACAACTAGTCAGCTCCATCGATTTTCTTGACTCAGGACGGTAATACGAAACGGTCATTCCTATCGGCATCTCTTGATATCGATCAAAGCATTTAAATCGACACGTGGCTTCATTAGATTTCATCGATCAAAGATATATGAAATCGTCTATTATGAGACAACAAATCCTACGTAACAGTTCGAACGATTGCTGCAATTAACTAACAGCCCTGATAAAATACCATACGTAATTGCATAACCTGAAAAAAATAGGGATTGCGAAAATAATCACTACTTTTTATTATGAACAAAATCTTTCGGTATAAGAGAGAGATAAGAGATCTCGTGATAAGAGAGAGAAAAAATAATATAACAAAAATAAATTATACAATAAAAACAAATAAAAATAGAGTAAAAAGTAATATAGGATTTTTAAATGGCATTGATATCTAATAAATGTATTGATAAGAATACGTACGATAAAATAGGAATGAACTATTTATAAGGTAGATCTGTCGAATATTAATCATCGCAGACGATTATCGTGAGACAGTTGTATCGCAACCGTTGTGCCGACCGTATGTTACGTGTCAGCAGTCGTGTCATAGTTCTATCGCGTTATTAATGTAATAATATGTTTGCATGACATTTTTCAGTAATTCGACACACGCAGTTGTGGACGGTGATATTGAAAGTTCATGCGCAGCCAGTTGACATCCAGTATAGCCCAGAAAATTTTGTTCGACGTGTCGTGATTACACCGTTCCTCCGTGATCGAGGTTATGTTTCCCACAAGACGAAAGAAGAAGAAAAATGTCCTGAAACGATACTGAACAATTAACAAAATCTCTTTGATAGCAAAGAGTAAAAGTGTAAAAAGCATTTACGTGGAACTGAAAATACTGACAACGAACATTTCGTTGGAAATACAGAACAGTATTATGTACTTTCAAGATTATAATAATCTGCAAGATTATTGATACATCGAATAAATCACGATATCTCAAGTGATACTTTATGTAAATTTAATTATCGTGTAAACTATCTCGAGCGATTATTTGTTCGAATGTTAACAATTTTTTTATCGTATTGGAATAAAAGTTGACAAAGTTTTACAACGAACGGCCTAAAAACGGCAACACGCGACGAGAAAATACATGCTCAACGTCATCCAACATATTTGGATCCATTATTAGTGACTAATAGGCAGCAAAACATGTTGAGTCAAAAATTAAGTAACAGGAGGATAGTTGTTGACTTCCTTGCACTCATGTTTGGTTTGGGTGCATGGATCGGCGTAAATGGTATATATGTACAACTTCCTTTACTAGTAAATAAAGCTCCAGAAGGATGGCGTCTTCCAGCACATATGGTTATGCTAGTACAATTTGCTAACTTGGGACCAATACTTTATACCTTATACATAAAGTAATTATATTACAGGATAACCTTTTTATCCATTTTTCATCCATTTCATATTAAAATTAATAAATCTGCCATTTTCTGTTCCAGATATAGTAAATGGGCATGCGAGAAGTACATTATATATGTACTATTAGCAGCAGGAGCATTATCCACGATTATATTAGCTTTCATTTACGATAAGACATCAGTAATATTTGGCAATGAGCATTCCACTGCTCTATTGTCATTGATGTTTGTAACTGCCACTGTTGGATGTACGAGTTCAGTTCTTTTCATGCCTTACATGAGGAACTATAGAGAAATTTATTTGGTGTCCTATCTTGTAGGAGAAGGACTCAGTGGATTTGTGCCAAGTGTGGTGGCATTAATCCAGGGTGTCGGTGGAAATCCAGAATGCAGAAATGCTACTACATCAGAGTCGACTAAAGTAGAGTCCGTACCTTACTATCCAGAACCCAGGTTTTCGTGTGAAACATTTTTCATTTTCATCGGTGCTTTGTTATCCTTGTGTTATCTGGCTTTCTTGGGATTGAATAATCTGTCCATCGCTGTTGGAGAGCGTGTGAAACATCCAGGAAGTATGGAAACGTTACCAACAGATACAAGGGCACCTCCTAGTTATAAAACAAATTCTGGTTGGACAATGTCTAAACAGGTGTATTCCTACTTATTAATTATGATGGCAATTGTTTGTTTCCTAGGCAATGGTACATTACCAAGTATTCAGTCATATTCTTGTTTACCATATGGAAATATTGCATATCATTTAACTGTAACATTGTCATCAATGGCTGGTCCATTGGCAATGTGCTTAGGTTTTTTTATTAAAATACCAAAAGTGAATTTTCTCACTGGTCTCCTAGGAATTGTAGTAGTGCTTTCTGGATTTGTATTTTTCCTAGCTGTTGAATCACCTGCTCCACCTTTACAACATAGTTGGGTAGGAGAATTGTTAGTAGTTTTGTCTTGGATATTGATTAATGGTTTAATAGGTTTCATAAAATTGGGTATTACAACACTGTTCAGACCTGATCCTGGCAGAGGTTTGTATTATACCGGTGTTGCAACTCAAATTGGATCACTGATTGGAGCAGTAGTTACGTTCGTCCTAGTGAATCATACAAAACTATTTCAGTCTTATTCTCCTTGTTCATCAACTCCATATTAACGGTTCATACAGAATTCAAATAGCTCTGTTTGTACCTATAATAGAATTTTAATAGAAAAGATGAAATATTAATATATTTTTAGTTGGAATTATCAATGGCTATTATCAAAATAGCAGAGGTTAAGTATTTGTAAATGATAAGATGCAAGGAAGTAATTTACTTAGATAAAGATCATTGTAGCTTTTATAAAGTAATATTCTATAAAAGACAGCACATAGATCTTTGTAAAACTGCAAGAAATCTATAGTAGAAACAAAATATTTTTCTGAACATAAGTGAGATAAATACAATGCATTTTTACTTAGATTGTTAAATGTTTGTGATTCAGGTGAATGTATAAGACACAAATGTACTTAAACAACTTTATATAGATATTATGAGCATATTTAGATATTATGTACATAATAGAGGGTTATATTCTCAAAATTCTATACCTAAAATGTTCACTGTTAATATATCTATTATAATATATCTTTTAAATTTGATATCAAAACATGAATGCTTAATAAGTGCAATATGATTATCAATTCTATTCCAATCATAAGTTTTTAGGTACATTGTTTCATTCAGAATATCAAAAATGTTTTATCAAGGATTTAATTATCATTGAGTAAATTCAAGTACGTCAGATTAGTCAAACTTTGTATTTTATCTGATAAATATAATTGCTCAGATTAAAGAATAGGCGGAGGCAGAAATCTTATAATTTCATTGTGTCAGTTTCTTTGAGAAAGATCTACCAAAAATTGTGGAATTTTAATTACTTATTTTATATATATTTTTTATTTTAATATTTCTATATGATAAATAATACACACAGTGATACTTGCAGTGAAATGTACTATTTTTTTTTTAATAATATTTACAAAATTTAGGTGAGAATACCAATGCTTATAAGTGTGTGTAATGGAAAATTTGTTACTGTTCATTATTTAAGAGTAATTTTTCATTTTAGTATTTTAAATGCAAGATGACAAATATTTTTCAAGATTCAAAGAGATGTGAGAAAGAAACGAAGCTATCAAAAGTTGCTGTTCATATTCTTATAACATTGTTTGGTATATCTGCTTGGATCGGTACCAATGGCATATTTATACAAACATCAGTACTTATCAATACTTTGCCTGAAAGCTGGGCTTTACCAGCTTATCTAGTATTAGTAATACAAGCTGCAAATTTTGGACCTTTATTTTATACAATCTTACAACATTTCAAATGCAAGATAAATGAATTTTGGTGGATATCATGTTTGTTAATTTCTGGGACTATTGCAATGGGACTATTAAGCTTTTTTTATTCTGTAACAACCGTTATCGCTGGAAATGAACATAGCGTGATATTATTTATTTTGACATTTTTCAGTGCTCTAGTAGGCTGTTTTAGTTCTGTTTTATTCATGCCATATCTTAGAAATTATCAAGAAAATTATTTAATATCATATTTTATAGGAGAAGGATTAAGTGGTGTATTGCCTAGCATAGTTGCTTTAATACAAGGAGTTGGAAACAATTCAAACTGTACAAAGTCTCAAAATGATACTACAGATTTTTCTGATTTAAAATTTTCCCTGAAGAATTATTTTTTATTCATATTTGTTATCTTATTTTTATCATTGTCAGCATTTGTTATTCTAGAATGTTCCTCTTTTGTGAAAAAAAGGAAAAACCTTCAGAAATCTTTTGGTACAGTATCCAATATGAAAAAAGTGAATATTTCTCATGTCCACTATGCAAGTGATATGCAAACAAATCCTCCATTAGAAGAAGATTCATTTCTTCATAACAACAAATATTTAACAAAACAAATGCAACAATATTTATTTGTATTACTTGGTACATGTTGTTTTTTTAGCAATGGTTTCTTTCCTAGTGTTCAATCTTATTCTTGTTTACCATATGGAAATATAGCTTACCAGCTTTCAATTACATTTGCTCAATTTGCAAATCCACTTGTGTGTTTATTAGCATTCTGGTTGAAGATATCAAGCATAAAAATTATCAATTATATGTCCCTAATATGTTTATTTATGGGAACTTATGTTATGTATTTAGCAATAATGTCTCCGAATCCACCATTACAAACTACAAAGCTTGGTATTGTTCTAGTTGTCTTGGTATGGACAATTTTAATAGGACTCATTTCATATTTAAAATTAATTATTGTGTCAATATTCAGGGGAACAGTACTGCCAAGAATACTTTTTAAAGTTGGTGTAATTATGCAAACTGGTTCTGCGAGTGGTGCAATATTTTCATTTCTATTAATTAACTTTACAAGCTTATTTGTAATGCATAATAGCTGTGCTTCAACAAGCAACTAAAATTGTAAATATAAAAATTGATAATTACTATAGCACTTCCATTGATGTAGATAGGTAACTAATTCGTTTCTATACCAAGGTATACTGATAAAATTTTATCAGAAGGACTTTGTATAGAAGAAACGATAACTTATATAAAATACATATTTTATGTATTGAAATATTTTTATAACTGTACATGTGTGTCTGCATTTATGAGTGAATTTTTACTGAACACAACAAATAATCAAGGACACTAAAGGTTTATATGAATGATAACTGAATGCCATCAAATTATTTGTAAAAAAGTTTCTAAAAAAATAATATTATCTTCTGTTTTATCTTGAGTACTGCCTTCCAATATAATGTACTGAAGATATACATATACATTTGTTATATCTTTCGACTGGTTCGAAAATGATTGTATTTATACGTTATAATATCATTTATTGTTTACTACACAAAACTTAATATTATTCCAAGTTACTGTTTTAAAAATTTGAACAATATTTTCTTTGTTATCGCGGGCGTTTACTTATATTTTAAAATTTAATTGTCACTTGGTTTTTTTAATAAACGTTATACTGATAAAATAAAGTTCTATTTTTTTATAATAAAATGGTGCAGTATTATGTAGATGTAAAACAATATATTTTTTTTTAATAAAATCATTTAAAATCTAACAAATTTTACTTCATTCATTTACCTTCATTAGTTATATCTACTTTACAGAATTTGAAATACGTAAGGTTGAATTTTGAAACTTGAAGATTCGAACGTTTCTCAGTTTCAAATTTTAAATGATTCAGGATAAACAAATTTGAATTTAATGCACGTTGGCAGTCCTGTTTTGGGAGGTGGTTCTGAAATGCACTAAAACGGAAATTGTGAGTCATGCGCGTTCGCGCAAAGCTGCATTGAGCACGAGGACCAAAACGGTAAATAATCACGCCAGTGAAAAACAACAGTTATCTTGTTTCTTTCTGATAGTACGCTGAATCACCGATACGTGTAATAATCGATCGAATGATATTACTTAAAAACGTAACGCGTAACATCAGATATTATTATAGACTAAAATGTGCGATGAAGAACAAACTTTCGCCGAAGATGAAACCAATCAAACAGACTCCCAATTATCGTTATTGGATCTTCCAGTTGAGGTCTGTATTAATTTTGCCCACATTTATTTATATACATGCAGTTTTAACTGATCAATGTCTAGAAAAATATATATGTATACGTATTTAATTTGAAAATTTAAACATTCATTTCTCTCGGTAACTTTCACCGCATAAAAGGAATGCGTGTTTTTCAAATATTATAGTCTAAAATTGACAGTATATATTCGTACCTATATGTCAAGTGTTTACAAACAACTGCCATTTAAATGAACGCTTTAGTAAATTCGTCCAAATAATTATTTGATGAATAATAAATTGAGAATGATCCTTCGAATAAAAGTATAAATTGTATAAACTAGTTTGGCAGCGACCTGTAACGTTTGCTATTAAAAAAGAAGTAGAACATTTCAAGAGTTTCGTCGAGACGTCAATGGTGTATGGTCGCCATTTTTAAATACCTGTTCTCGCACAGTATATTTAATGAACATGATGCCGCTTTGTATACGTATATCGCAAATTTGTACTGAAAATTTAAATTATATTACTTTAATTCATATTAATAATTAATGTACTTTTTCACTGTTTCAGATATTTCTTCATATCTGTTCCTTCCTAGATGCCTCCACACTAGTAAATACTTTGGGTTTAGTGTGTAAACAATTTTATGAAATATTAAACGATAACTCACTATGGAAAGTGAGGATAAGTCAAATTTGGCCAAATACTGGTTATCCAGTTTTGCCTCCTGGTTAGCTCAAATTGATAGCACCTCGCGTCTTGCACGACCAATCATTCTGTAAATAAATAAAACACCATCTATTACTGTACATGATAATTAGTTGTGTTTAACATACTCCATGTACTGAATTACCCGTGTATTATATAACTTTAATGAATTAACACAAAGGTTAATTTTCATGTGTTGCATCAGGAATTAATACAAATAATTTGTAAACAGTAATATTTTTGATTAACAGAAAAAGCTACATGTAGTGTCACACTTAACTTTTTAGCGTATTACATGCTGATAATATTTTCTAGTACTTCTGTTCTCAATATTTAAAAACATATATATTTATATTTATTTAGCTGAAGATGATGAACTTTTCTGGAAATTATCATGTGTTGCATTAGAGAAGCAAGTCTCATTATGGAGAAATGAAAATTCCATGGAGAAATTGTCACTTAATAATGTGCAATATAGTACTATCGATGGCCTTCTGTTAATGCAGGTAAGTACATGAAGATGTACATGTAATTTTCACAGTACAACAAATTGATAATGATTTCTGTGCACTTGCAGAATGGGAATATTTGTATATCAGGAGCAAGGGATCGGTCTTTGGCATGTTGGAGACTTCCTACTAAAGAAAATGAAAGAGAAAATAGTACTTGTATAGAATTTGCTCACAATGGATGGATTTGGGACTTAACAGCAATAGATAACATGGTTTACAGTTGCAGTTGGGATAAAACTATCAAAGCATGGACACTTACTGACACGGGTCTTGTCCACTTCAAAACATATGAGATGTACATGAGAACCAAGCTGGTCATTTTCGCTGCTCTCGTTATGGAAAGGCTGAGCGAGGAAGGCATGAATACTTTTGTTTTCAAAGAATAATTATTTAGTAAAGTAACGTTAAAAAATGATTAGGCTACAAATGTTTATCCAAGTTTCTAAGAAACAAGAAATCGAACAGTTGGACTTTGCTTTCACTCGCTCTGCCAAAAGTGACTGTGCAAGATAATTGCAATGTATTAAAATTTTTCGATATTCAATATAAATGTTAACAATTTTTTAGCATCGTCACAGGTGCTCTGTTGTGCATCACATCATGTCCAGAGATAGCACTTTTTGCTACGGGTTCATTTTGCAGAACTGTTCTAGTATTTGACTCAAGATTAGGGTACAAACCTATTGTAAAGTACAGACCACATAAAAGAGCAGTTATAAGATTAGCTATGAATTCCGACTTTATCTTGTCCGCCAGTGAGGATGGGACAGTGTCTGTTTGGGATCAAAGAGCAGGGAGAATTATGAAACACGTTACTGTGAGAATCGAATTCAAAATATTTTATTAAGAACGTAATTAAATTGTAATCATTCCAATCATATTTCAGATTTCACAAGAATCATTTCCTATGAGCATGTGTATGCAACGAAATATGGTTTACGTAGGAGACGGTGACGCGAAATTACACGTACTAGATCCAACAAAAGATTTTGAACCAGTTAAATGTTACACCACTGAACATAAAAAGGGTATTAACGGTGTTCATCTGACACCAGGATGTTTAATAACTAGTTCAATGGATAAAACAGTCAGAATTAATAGTCCTACCGACCCTCCGCAACATCTTACCACTTTGAAGTCTAGTTACGGGGTAATAGCAAGTGTAAGTATACATGTACGACAGTTTCGTTATATGTGTCTATAAGACTGAAAACAATTGTGAAATATAAATTCATATAAATGAAAGTCGTGCAGAAAGGCTGTACTGTAATATAATACTAGTTCGTACAAATTACACTTGAATAATTTTTCCTTTCCTCTCTTTACAGACTGATTATTTGAACGAGGTTCTTGCTATTTCTGGTACAGAGGGGATTGAAATTTGGAGACCAAGGTCAAGGATTCAGTGTGCATAAAAGTATCGATAAATTAATGATTTCTACAAGCATTTTGCTTTTATATGCTGTACACTACATAACTTTTAATAAATTAACAAGAATTACAAATAAGAAAAAAATATATACTTCAATAATTTAATAAAGGCTTTGCTAAGTACATTGTTAGTTATAAGTCCATCTTATTTTTACCTAATCAAAACTTAAAATACAAATATTTAAATTGTGCTGTCGCACAGGGCTGTTACTGTTACTAACAAATTAAAAGTAAAATTTTGCTGGCCGGCTAAAACAAAGCATTCATTGTAACAGTCATTTTCAAATATAAACATTTACGTTTTGAGCGACATAACGTTAAATTCGAAAAAAATTACCAAACAGTAAACCAATCGATGTCGCCAGTGTCGCCGGAAGTGCTCGTCTGCTACACTCCGAAAACGTTCAATTGTCTATCCGTACGAATTACGCGAAAATGGAATATAGTTACGAAACGACGTTAAATATCAACGAAATTGTCCCGAACAATTAATCGATTACCGGACGTGACGACCATATAGAAATTAGTCGAGGAATTCTGGTATTGCATGCCGGTATTCCAATGCTTTCGTGGCGCGGTGGTGGGGAACTTCCGTTTATCTGCGAGGTCGGAGAAGGCTGGCTGCGTTCAGTGGTGCTGTTGAAAAACACGATGAAAATGGCGTGGCAACCGCAAGAGGAAGGACTTAGACAAATCTTAACGCTTCTCAAGGAGTCCCAAAGCCCGGATACGGCTACTCAACGAGCCGTGCAAGAAGTATCCTTTCTGAATCGAGCTTCAACAGTTTTTTGGTGCTACGAAAAATTCATTTCGGGAATTCTATAGTCCCGGTGAGTAGACCCGCGACGCGGTAACAAAGTGAAGCGGGTAGATCAATCGAGGGGTGTGCTGTTTCCCCCCGTGGACTCTGATCTTCATGATTACTAACTAAAATCATGAGGAAAATCGTGACGATTAGCTTTACGAAGTTTCAAGGCTATCAGAATTTTCTGTTAGGGCTGGAACGTGAAAATGTTCGGCGCGCTTTTGCGCAGCCTGTCACGGACCCCCTTTTTCGTTATCCACGGTTCGATTGAAAAGCTGGTTAAGACACCGTATTACAATAAATACGATTCTTCGGAATTGTAGGAATGTTTTTGCAACCATGTTCGTTAACTTCAGCGAGATGGTTTTACGATTTGGGGAGAAATCTGTGAGAGTAGGTCGATGGAAGTTTATAGGTTTTTCTCGAATAACACGTGAGTTATACTTAAGCGCCAAGAAATATGTTAACGATACGTGATTCCTGTCGCGGGGCGCGTCGGAAATGCCGTTAGTGTCCGCGACGAGTTTGTTTTCTTCACGCTGCAATCGATAAATTTATATAGTTTCGGCCGTAATATTAATTAAACAGATTGAAAATGACGTGTGGGAACAGTTATTGGTATAGGAATGTAGTGGTCACAAATTACAGCTGGTATATGATATGCGGTTATAGAAACTTGAATTTTTTTTTGCAGATTTTTTTTCCACTATATTTATACTCTTCATACTTATATATAGCAGATTTGGGCAGGAAATATTATAATTAGATGAATTAATATACTTGTAATAGATTTTTTCACATGTCTAAAATTGTATACATTTTTTTGCATTTTACATTGTAGTTGAAATTTGTATTAACATGATAAATGTGATAAGTCTAAGACTGTTCACTTCAATAGTATAGTATGGAAAAGATAGAATAGTAAGATAGTACAATAATAGGATAGTAAGATGATAGTATACTAAAATAGTAGAATAGTAAAGGAATAGTACAACTGTATAGTGGATATAGTGGTATAATAGGATAGTAATATAATAAGACATATGATTTCATTTGAACTTTAATCTCGAGCATTAACATACTACAGTCACATAATTAATAATAAGGTTATGGAATATCTTCTTTTTTTATATTTATTATGTAATGGCAACAACTATGATAGGTGCATCTATGATAGTTATATAAACATGTAATTGTTTATTTTTATAAAAGACTACGGTTATTCCAGATCATAAGCGAATATTAACAGAACTGAATCTCTTTAGGTTAGAGATCATCATACTGAATGATATTTAGTCATTTTTTTATTTAAAAGTGATGGCAATTTACTGAAAATATAATCATTTTAGTCATAAAATAGAATCATTAACAGGCAGAAATGAATTTTTTTAAGGTACCCATAATTTAATAAAAGTTTTAGAAACATTTTAATTTTATGGCTGGTACGCCTTCTTCTTTTAATGAATTGACATGTATGGATTATACACTCATCTTTGTCTACAAATAAAAAGATAACCATTGTCATTTGTAAAATATGATTGTTTTATATGTATTTCTTTTTACAAATTTTCCTTAATAACTTTCTGTAGAAATTGGAAGAATTAAATAAATTTCCAGATTTCAACAATTACCTTATCTTTGTTTTAACAAAACTCACATCAGAGGGTATGTACTTAAACATAGTACAATGACATTCTAGTGCTATAGATAGATTGGAATTAATATATTGTTTGTTTCCAGATGAACCTACGAGGTCTCTCAGTGGACTGATATTGAAAAATAACGTGAAAGCTCATTTTCATAAATTTTTACCAGAAGTTACAAGTTTTATTAAGCAAGAATGTTTATCCGCAGTTGGAGATCCATCACCTCTAATTCGTGCAACTGTTGGTATTTTAATAACTACTGTTGCATCCAAAGGTATGCTTTTTAGCAAATAATTAACAATTATTGATTAAACTTTTGTATAATAACTTGTTGCTATTTTTAACAGGTGAACTGACTACATGGCCAGAATTGTTACCTGCACTTTGTCAAATGTTGGATTCTGAAGATTACAATGTTTGTGAAGGTGCATTTGGCGCTCTTCAAAAGATTTGTGAAGATTCTGCAGAAATATTAGATTCGGATGCACTTAATCGACCTTTGAACGTTTTAATTCCAAAGTTCCTGCAATTTTTCAGACATTTAAGTCCCAAAATCAGATCACATGCTATTGCCTGTGTTAATCAATTTATTGTTAGTCGTACACAGGCTCTTATGATTCATATAGATAGCTTCCTGGAGAACCTCTTCCACTTAGCTAGTGATAATGATCCAGAAGTCAGGAAAAATGTTTGCAGGTATGATTACTTGAAAGTAGTTAAAATGATGTGCATGAAATAACATTGCTTTTCCCGTTTGTTACAGAGCATTGGTTATGTTACTTGAAGTTCGGATGGATAGATTGATACCACATATGCACAATATAATAGAATACATGTTAATGAGAACTCAAGATCCTGATGAAGGAGTTGCTTTAGAAGCTTGCGAATTTTGGCTCTCCTTAGCAGAACAACCAATTTGTAAAGAAGCACTTGCACCACATTTACCACGTTTGGTACCCATATTGGTGAGTGATCATGACATTACACAAAACATGTACTAAACGAATAAGAACATGAAATGTAATGTATTTTTATAGGTAAGAGGAATGAAGTATTCTGAAATAGATATAATACTCTTAAAAGGAGACGTAGAAGAAGACGAAATGATCCCAGACAGAGAAGAAGATATCAGACCAAGATTTCCCAAATCAAAGACACATCATTCGCATCATGCTAATATGAACAAACATACAAACGAAAACGGAGGTTGTGACGAAGAGAACATAAGCACTGAAGATGGATGCGACGATGATACATCGCTCAGTGATTGGAATTTAAGAAAATGTTCGGCTGCTGCATTGGACATGTTAGCGAACGTTTTCAGAGAAGAATTGTTACCGGTATTAGTACCCATTTTAAAAGAAACTCTTTTCCATCAAGATTGGGAAATCAAAGAGTCTGGAATATTAGCACTGGGAGCTATAGCAGAAGGTACGTTAATATTTTAATTATTCGGTTAATCGAATAAAATTATTTTATAGAACTTCATTTTCTATTATAAAATTTATTGCTACAGGTTGTATGAGTGGAATGATTCCACATTTATCAGAATTAATACCTTATTTAATTAATTGCTTGAGTGATAAGAAAGCTTTAGTACGAGCTATTACTTGTTGGACGCTAAGTCGTTACGCGCATTGGGTTTGTGCGCAACCACACGACACACATTTGAAACCTTTAATGACAGAATTACTCAAAAGAGTACTTGATGGCAATAAACGCGTTCAAGAAGCTGCATGCTCTGCTTTTGCCACATTAGAAGAAGAAGCGTGCACAGAATTAGTCCCATATCTTGGATTTATTCTTCAAACACTTGTGTTTGCCTTCGGTAAATATACTCTTATAAAAATAAACAATTAATCAGAAACTTACTGCTATTATTAATGTTTATGTATGTGCAGGTAAATATCAACACAAAAATCTTTTAATATTATATGACGCAATTGGTACACTTGCTGATTCAGTGGGACATCATCTTAATAAGCCGGATTACATTAACCTTTTAATGCCGCCACTTATCAACAAATGGAATGTGTTGAAAGACGAAGACAAAGACCTTTTCCCATTACTAGAATGTCTTTCTTCGATCGCAACTGCATTGCGTTCTGGTTTTCTTCCTTATTGCGAACCCGTGTACAGGTTAGTTTTAAATTGTATTACGATTTTGTAGATTTGAACGTGGACACATGTTTGTGTATACAAATTTTTTTTTAATAGGCGGTGTGTATCCCTCGTAGAGCAGACTCTAAATCAACACATAGCAAATACCCAGAGTCCAGAACAATTTGAGGCACCTGATAAAGATTTTATGATTGTTGCATTAGACCTTCTTAGCGGCTTGGCTGAAGGGTTGGACGGCCACATGGAACGCTTAGTAATGAACAGCAATGTAATGCAGCTGTTGTATCAGTGTATGCAAGATGTTACGCCCGAAGTTAGACAGAGCAGCTTTGCCTTGTTGGGAGATCTTACAAAGGCCTGCTTCCAACATGTTCTCCCATGTATACGTGAGTAATATTTTACATATTTTATTAATTGCCATATTTAATATTATGTATACGAAAATGTTTAATTGTAGCGGAGTTCATGCCTATACTTGGACAGAATTTAAACCCAGAGTTCATATCAGTGTGCAACAATGCCACATGGGCTATAGGCGAAATAGCAATAAAATTGGGTAAACATTTTTGCAATTCTGAAACTTGTCGAATCAGTTCCATTTTTTAATAATATGTTTCTTCATTTTGTTCTTAGGATCTGACACAAGTGCATATATTCCATTAATTTTGACACAACTTATCGACATAATCAATAGACCGAACACGCCAAAAACATTGTTAGAAAATACAGGTGAGTAGCTGCATAATATATTCAAATGTATAGTTACTTTTACACAGCATAGTATATGGAGCATACTTTTAAATGGTAGTAATGCGTAGAAATAATAATTTTTTTCGAGTAATACAATAATGTTGACCACGTTAATACCGATTCACCCATATCGTAGAGTTAATTACCTGTTCTTAGAAGTATGCTCTGCACATAACGGGGAAACTTTTCATTTGAGATATTGTATCTTCTGTATTACATAGATTAGACATGTGCACAAATTTTTCCACGTAATTAGGATAACACTAATTATTTTAATGAGAAGTCTCCCAAATATACCGAAAGAAAGTCCTCACGTTAGATTCAGCATTCGGTGGCATTTAAGTTTAGGTGCATTATATTGTAAATGATTTTTTTAACGAAGGTAATAACTACACAGATTAACGACTATAAGTGGTTTTACGTGACCACGCTTGCACGTTTTATCAGCGGGTTTTAAATTTATTAGTATTTGTACATTGGACCTGATTTAGTGGTGTGCGATTGCCTGCAGGCTTTATATGGCTGTACTGCCATGACGATATTCTGCGATGCAGTATACAGAAAAGTCTCGCTATATGGTCTTGGGCTCTAGAAGCAGGAAGAAATTGTGAAATGAGCCATATAAGCGAAATACCGTCCGTATGATTCGGCGGTGAATTATGATCGCATTCGTGATATAAATGATACAGCTATATAGCAAGACTGCAACTGTACCGCAATTCGATATTACTATGCTTGCATCTAAACCCCAGATATTGTTCCGACGGTTCTTTAAATTGGCCTAACGTTTACAACAAAAGATTTTATTTTTATATTTCTTGGTTGTTCTTGATTTATATTAACATTTATTGGTAGAAAATCATATTCATATATCGGTTTTACAAATGTCATGGGCTCGCACGCTGCTATCTAATTTTTTATTATTGTTTCAGCAGCTACAATAGCACGGTATTGCCTATGTTCATTGTCGGTATTTCATATGTTTACCTCTGTTCCCACTGTCTATTGATTGTTAATATTAAATTAATTATTATTCATTAAATGATTAATTGCAAATTAATTGATATATTTTATAAACGACAACATAATTCGCCTGAGTTGATCGTTGGTTCGCTATCAGTTTGTCTTATTGTTTGTGTTTCCGGTCACTTCACTACACTTCACTTGTCTACTTACCGAAATGAAATGAAAACCGTAGCCATAACGATCGGTCGCCTAGGTTATGTGTGTCCCCACGACGTCGCCCCCATGTTACAGCAGTTTGTCCGACAGTGGTGTGTAAATTTCTTTATTATTATATTCTATTAATTATATTACCTTCTATTTTTATTAGCACTTTATTATTATATATTATTCCCGATTCTTCAGTACATGCATCAGGGGCTGCTAAGAAAACTTCTGTGCAAGAATACTGTAGCGTTTACAAACAATCGAGTCCATAATGATTTTGTTTTATTTTTTTTTTTTATTATTATTATTATTATTATTATTATTATAAAAGTAAAGTCTTATCTTTTTTTCCTTTTTTTCATTTTTGGACACAGACATGGGTCTAGTTTATCTTTGATTTAAACTTGCCCATGATTTTTACAGTATTAGTAGTGTTTCTTACATTTACTTATTTACACGGTATATTTGATTCGCCACCATGCAAGTATGTTATGGGCTCTTAATTATGCGGTTCGAAACCAGGAGGGTAGGTTTACATTTGCCACTTTTTTTAGGCCTGCATAACATTTTAGCCTATGTATTATCGCCTTGCATTCAAAAATAGATACGTATATACCTTTCTTTTCTTACGTACTTTTACTGTGTACAGGTAGTTTCAATTGGAAGTGTCCTTTGCATGTTAATTAACTCAGTATTAATAGTTTTCAGATACATCCGTTTAGCCGTACTTTCGTTATAATTGTCGTCGATATAGCTTTGTTTTATAATGTGGGACAATTTATACTTAAAGAGATGTCAAATGTAAACCAAACCTTAATACAAACTGTATGATGCCAGTCGTATTAAAATGTTAATTTTATTTTTTAAGTAAAATGTCAAACTTCTACTGGCTGAGATTTTTAACCGGAAATTACAAATTTATGTTTGAATAATACCTGAACTCTATCTTATCATATATTATAGATTAGATTGAATTTCTTTTATTTCCTTAGATTGATAATTTTCATTTTTACTTCTTTGAGTTTCAGCACTATCATACAGAGGAATATATAAAACGTTAAAAAAAAATACATAATAAAAATATGTTACCAATGTATAACACACAGTGTAGGGAATACAAGACTGGCCTCAAAAAAGCCAACTTACCGCGTTAATTGTTAATTATAAACATCTGTTTATGTACAATTTACGTAACTTGTGGGAATGAACATTCTATCGAGTGACTAGTTCTCATTTTTTGTCATAATCATATTGTTATGAATGTACAAAGTTTCATTGAAAAGGAAGTATATTCATCTTACTCATAACAATTACAAGAGGAGAGGTCTCTACTGGATCAATATCAAATATCAGAAAAAATATGAAGAAGATTGTATTTCACAATACGTTCTCCGATTGCAATGAATATACTTTCTTAAAACGCGAGTCGTCAATCCTTCTCTAACATACGTATCTATGTCACTAGGTGTACTTCGTTGAGAAGCATAAGAGACAACGAAGAAAAGGACTCGGCATTCAGAGGTATGTGTCAAATGATTACAGTTAATCCAGGAGGAGTTGTGCAAGATTTCATCTTCTTCTGCGATGCTGTCGCATCCTGGGCTACACCTAGAGAAGATCTTAAAGACATGTTCCAGAAGGTATGCAGAATGACCTGTCTACTATATCTTTGTTAATTAAATTCTTTCATAACATTGCTCAAATTTTTACAGATATTACATGGATTTAAAAATCAAGTTGGTGCGGAAAACTGGAAACGTTTTTCAGATCAGTTTCCACCACAGCTGAGTGAACGACTCCATAATATGTATGGTGTCTGAGCAGCCCCGCCTAAATGCGGTAAATAGATTCGGCACAATTTTAGTTATTTGATAGTTGGGACTCTGTAGATACGCGAACTACCTACGCACTGTTAGAGAGTTAATTAGAATCATATCTAATTAAGTCGGATCTTTTCATGAGATTCTTGGAAAGATCCGAGCAAAGGCGAAGAATGTTAACGTAAAATGTCTCTTTCAGAAGGCCGCTTTAAGGGGCAGGCCGAACGGGGTTGGGCGGGAAACAGAACAATGGGTGGACAGGGTGGGTGGGTGAAACCACGGCCTCTTCTCATCAACATCGTTGTCGTTACCGTGTTATGGTCATCGTCAGGCTCTCGGGGGAATTAATATGCGTCATTAGAGCTACTGTCAGGAAGATGCGACATTAACGGGAAACAAAAACGAAGTGAAAGATGGAAACGCAAGAAAATGAGAACGACAAAACAATCAATGTCCATGGGCCGAAATGTA